CAGGCTACCCGCTTGAACAAGCCGTTGTAGTTCGCAGGGGCCCGTTTGGCCCCCGCTGCTAAACATAAGCCCACGACTGCATACGCCTTGTCATGTCCATAGAGTTGAGTTCAGCCAGTAGATAGATACGATCCGGACACATGCCGACCTCTTCTCAGCGTCTTCTCTGCGACATAAGCAGGCCTTGCAATGCATTCCGCCCTCCATGTTGTGCCATCCATTTGTCTGTTGTGCTGGCGTGTGCACGGTTTCAGGAGGTTGAAGCACTTGATTTTCTGGCCTCATCCTGCTGAGCTGTACTTCTTCTGCATGATTCTGCATGATTCACGTCATTTCGCAATTGACTGTTTTGATGTGTTGAGTATGTTTGATGCGCTTTCTTTGCGAAAGCGGTGCCACTGCCAGCCTTGCAGGACAGGCCAGCTTCTCGAGATGGGCTTGGACCCGTTGTTCCTACCGGCGGACACCAAGTCTTTGGGAGTCCAGACAGACGGGAGCAAGGATCCCCAGACTCTTCGGCCCTTCGGCTTGCGTTTTCAGTTTCTGCCGGAACGACCACCTGACGTGCGCATGCACCTGCAAGCTGCAAGCGCTCACACTGAAGTTGAGCCTTCCTTCCCTCAAATACAGCCGTCACTAGCAGTTGTCCACGGCTGTCGCCGTAACCCAAGGATGCAGCAGCTCGCATATCACGACTCTGATCTGATAGAGATGCCTGGATGCACTTGGCTGTAGGAGGGCTCATTTTGTTCTTGTGCCATCCAGATAGTCCTTCAGCTCCTTCCGACGAGGCCTGCTTTCAGCCAGCCGGCGGCAGCCTCTCAGGTGTTGAAGCTTGCCGTCGGGCTGCTTGGCACCCTGCCTGCATCAGACCCAAAAAGCTCCAGTCACTAGTGGATGTCTGGACCGGTGTGAGTGTTTCTTCAGCTCCACACTGGTGCAAGCTTGACATCGTCCAGCACAGGCTTGGAAGTCCATGAGAAGCCAAAGGCCTGGGCAGAGGCGGATCCCTGCAATGACCCTGCAGAGCCCTTGACTGCTGCTGGTGCAACAGTGCTTGCTCACTGAATATGCAGCCAAATGGAACAAAACTCCCGTTCCGATCATGGCAGGTCTGGCTCACTTTCAAAGACAACACTGGCAAACAGCTGGGGCTGAGCTTCCTGGCAAACACTCGCGGGTGCATGGAATGTGCGAACCATACTGAAGTAGTGTGGATGGAGTTGTTTCGACCACCAAGGCTCCCAAGTCTCAGAAGCCAGCCAAGATCGCGACTTTAGGAAGAGCCAGATGGAGTGGCAGCATCAGGTGTTGCTTGTAGTGCTCCGCGCATTATGAGCCCAGCACCAGGTCTTGCTGGTAGTGCTCGACGATCATGTGCAGTTTCTGGGGCAGGTGTTGTCGCACCTGCGTCAGCTTCGCGACTCGCCTAGTAAGAGCTCCGTGGCCAGTGCCAAGGGTGACTTGGCATCGCATCAGTCCTTCCTGAGTCCACTATCTCGGCGCTGTTGGATTTGACGATTCACCGTTTGGATGACACTGCTTGTGCTGGATGTTTTTGCCAGCTTGGCAAACAACTGGCCAAAAGTTAAAAGTCAAAACGGCAGCCACATGAATCTCACGCTTCTTCCGTTTTGATTAAGGAGCCCCTCATCAGGGCGATGGTGCGCCAACACTTGGGCCACACGCAGGGTTCAAGGTGTTCTCACCGTGTTTTCCGTGGCGCTGTGGGGCTTGTTTTCAGGGGTGTTGAAGTTGACAGGAGCAGCTGGAGCTGGCAGACTTCGCGCTGCACCGCATCACGCATGCTGTCAATGCGCCCTTGCTGCAACCAGTCACGCCCAGTCGCGCAGCACAGAACCGCCAGTTTTGAAGTCATTGCCATGGATCTTTGCACCGGCCTTGCGCCTGAAGTTTGGAATGACCGGAGGTGCTTCAAAATCCTGGGTGGCGCGACAGACCCGAGATTCTGAAAGAATACACAGAGGACGTTTTGCTTCAGTGGTTCTGCGCAAAATGGCCTCGTGAGAGCAGCACAGGAGCGTGTGGGCGAGGTGTGCGAAGACTTGGCGCAGTGGCTTGAACAACTGGCAATGCTGCTCTCCTTGTGACCCGTTCCAAGCTACCCGGTAGCTACCCTACAGCATAGCATAGTTGATGAGATTCGCACATAGTGGCATCGTGGGAGGTACCACGTCCACATCCTAGATCTGGAGGGCGACCGTGGTCGATTAGCCACTGAGCTTAGGGCGACACAGGTCAAGTATCATGAGGGCGACGAGGAGCCCGCCGCATGCATTTCCGCTCTGCTTTGTTCCAGCAGCATGGTTTTTTTGCTGCCAATGTGGTCGTCTTGGTCTCTAGGAGAAGAAGGATGCCATCAGAAGGTTTGAGGCACCGACTGCTGAATTGACCGAACGATTTCTGCGATGTTCTGCGTGTGGGATAAGTGGAGTGTTGTTGCAGCTGTGTTCTCGGCACTGACTGTACGCAAATGTGCAGGAAATCGAGGCTCGATGGAACGAAGAAAAGATGAAACGAAGGGCTGAGGACTGCAACGTGGTGCAGGGCAAAAAGCGTTTACCAATCCGGCTCCTTGTTCTGCGCGCTTCGATTGAATGCTTGCATACTGCGTGCAGCTTGAGCAGGGGACATGTGGGACCGTGGGACAGGCACGGATTGTGTGTCTCTGCTGCATGTGAACAGGCCTTGTTCGGAGTCACTTGCAGCGAGGAGGCCCCCGGGTGCAGGGCATGTGTTGCAATTGCAGATCAGATTGCGAAGTGGTTTTGTTTTTTCAAGAAGTGCAGGGTGAGTGCATAAGCAGAAGCCTTTCCAGCCGTTTGCCTTGACATGTGTGAGCGCGTACTTACATGGTCTGAGTCTGAAAGCCTGCCGTGTTGAGTCTTGAGGATCCGAAGATATACAGCCAAGCAGAGGTGGATGACATGTACGAGCACCTCGTCCTCGCAAGAGAAATTAAGTTGGCATACCGTTGTCGTTCCCTTTGCAAAAGCCACCGTGCCGAATGAAGATACAAATTCAAGAGCTTCCATTCCCGAAGCCAACAGCACTCGGCACAGCTGGCAAGGCTGTCCAGGTGTTTCTTTTGATTCGGGGTGGGGGTGGTTGTGTGTCTGTGTGCCACGTGCTCGTGGAAGCCCTGCCCCGAATCGGAAGGGGGAGGAGTGAATGGGAGGGGGATGTAGAGAAGTCGCCGGGGAATACTTACGCTGGCCCAGCGAATCAACATAGTCCGTAGGAGTGGACCAGTGGGGTAAGTCGCAGCCAGCAAGGTGGTCGGGTGTTTCTTCCCACTTGGGCTGCTAGCTGTTGCTCCGTTGACAGGAAAGTTGCGGGCCTTGGGTACAGGGGTGCGCTCCTGGATGTTCGCTAGGCGGCTAGGCGGGGGTGCCATTCAATCAAGGCAAAACTCGGCGAGGCGCATGGAGAACTGTTAAAACTTGGGAGGAGGATTGGCTTTGTGGGTTCCTGAGCCAATGCTCCTAGCGCCCAAGGCCTCGCTTGGCTTGAAGCTGAGAGCAGCCGGCCACTATACATAATAGGCTTCTTTCCTCAGATAGCTGTACGTAGATGGGATGGTTTCCACGTTACGTCGTGGTTGGCTTCTGCTTATACAAGTAAGTCCCTTTTGGACAACCCCCAGAGCTCCGCTTTTAGAAGCAGGTGTATATAGTTCTTTCTTAGGTCCAAGAATATTCTAAGAGTTGCGCGCAGATGTGGAACGAAAGACCCCGACCGGAGGCAGTGGAAAAAGGAGCAGGTGGATCCGCTGTTGGAGGAGATCAAAGCAGCGTGGATGCCATGGGTTGGAAAACCTTGCTTTCTAAACAGAATAGGGTTTGAAAAGCGGCATCTTGCAATCTTAGGCTCTGAAGAAGGCGCAACGCGAGCTGTTGGCCAAGATGCAGGCAGCCGCAAGACGACAGCTTTTGATTGTTTCGAAGGACGCAGGCACTATTCTAGCGATTTCTAGCGTAGCTGATGCTGGCAAGAAGAAATCGATTCGCAGGCACGAAATGTGGGACGGTTTGGGAATGTCATCTGTGTTGCAGCAGGCCATGAAACAGGAGCGGGCAGCCCGGATGTCCATCCAGCAGGCCTGACTGACGTGCTCTTGGCTCAAAGGCGAGAATTGAAAGGAATGGAAGTGCCAGGAAGAGCCCCTCATCGGCGAGGCAGAGTTCCGGCTGTTGCAATCGTCCTTGAAGGCATCTTCAAGCAAGGCCTGGCCTAGGACAGAGCTGGCACAGCGTTTCTGCCGTTCTGTCTTTCTGCATGATACATGTGCCTTCGTATGCCATATGCTGAAGGTATGGGGTGATCTCAGCCCGCTACTGTCTCGCATGGCCGAGTGGCTTGCCCACATTTCTATGGTTTTCAGAATTTGCAGCTGCCGTTGCGCACGGTTGTTTTGGACCAGTTGACATGCCACAGCCCTGAGAAGCTTGTTGAAGTTTTGCGTCTGGTAGTATCTGGTAGTTGAGAGTGTTCACTTGGGCCGCACCTTTGACGCACACGGTCATGTGTCAAGTGTTAGCTTTCTTGTATGACACTGACTACCGGCGCCTTGTCTTCGCGCGCTAGTGCCAGTTGTGAGAGTTGAAAGAGCGTAATTAAGTTAGTGTCGGTTCGACCTGATGATGTTGGATTTTGTAGGGAGTAGGTTTGTAGTAAGCACGAGTAGTTTGTAGTTGGTAGTCGTTGCGGCAGAGGCAGAGGTGGTGGTAGTAGTGGTGGCAGAGGCAGTAGTCGTCGTCGTCGTGCTGGGAGTCGGAGTTAATTGGCCTGCAGAAGCTGCGCGTTGAGATGAATGCCAAGTAGGAAGACGCGGACTGATGACTGAGGTCTCTGGCCACAGGAAGTACTGACATGCGCGAGATACTGGGCTCCATACAGGCATTCTCCGGAGTAGAGCTTGAACCAGTGGCAGGAATGAGAGATGTTCCAAGCTCCGGCATGATCATTTCTGCATTGACATGCTCATGAATCTGTCCAACCACGTTGCACGGAAGGCATTGCCAGATGCCGGGCCACCAGAGGTGGCGGAGAGAGAAACAGCGACACTTGCCTCGCTTCAGCCGACTCTGAGACTCCTGAAGGCTGACTTGATTCTATCAGCTCACCTCCCAGGATTCCAGAAGGCAGTGCCGTGATCGGAAAGGAGACCGTGGAGTGGCTTCAGAGCCCTGACTGAGCAAGAAGTCAGACATCTTCGTGTAAGCTTAAGAGCAGGAGGTCAAACCCCGTTGCAGGCGGCACAGGTTGTTCACGATGTATCACGATGTTACTTTCCTTCTGGGAGTAGGAGCAGCGGCAGGTCTTTTCAGCCTGAATGGCCGCTTTGCTTTTGCAACCTCGACTTTCTCACCACTTTTGTGCCGTTTGTCGGGATGTGATGGCAAGGACTGGTCTGAAAGCAACTGGCAAGCACGTGTCGACAGAGCTCGCAAGCTTGCTAGTGCAGATGGGGCAGACCCTGGCAGCCTCTTCGGTGCACATAGCTTCGGTATGTTACGCAAGGCCCCGCATTCTTTCAGCTTAAGCTACTTCGACATGCACTTTTCATGCCCCGGCAGCAGTTTCAGTTTTCTTCTTGCATACCACTGCTGTACAAGGCCTCGCTGTTAGCTTTGTTACTCTGAGGCCAGCAGCAGCGACATGCAGCGGCTGGCGCAGAACATCCAGAAGCTGCCCCTGCCGACGCCATCAAGCGCCGCTTCAGAGAAGTACTCTGGCAGCTTAGTCAAACAAATTTGTTACGCAAACGGTGCGAAGTGTGATTTTGAGGCCTTCTTTGCGCTCCACTGGGGTCAATACGACCCAGGCAGTGGTTCTGCCAAGCAAGCCCAAGGACGCCAGCTCGCGACACGAACGCGCATGCAGACCTGCTACATGTCTCGTAGGAATCTCTCTATACAGGAGAAGGAGCCAGAGGCTGTTGCCCCGGCTCCTGTCGAGCCTCAGCGCGACTTCGAAGGCACGTGCTCCGGTTGTCGTGTCATGTGAGACTCTCAGCTGCTGTACTGCGCTGATAGACCCACAGGTTGTTGAGCTGCTTGATTTCGCCCCTTGCCCTACCTGGTGGCGAATTTTACGTGCAGTTGCCCCATTTGCCCCCAATTGACGCGTCGCGATCCAGTCTTCCATTTTGGGCATGTAGAGCATTGGAAGCAAGTCGCGCAGGTGGGGGAGGTTGCGACATAATTAGGAGTCATTGCCCAACATCTCCCACTTTAGGCTTGAAGGGCAAGTGGGGCCAAATTAGCTACGAGGGGTCACGCGCGGTCCCCGTGCACGCCCACTATGCTATGCAGCATTCAGGCATTTTTCAAGCTTCCGAGCGCCTGGAAGCTCTACTTAGAGTGACTCTACTAGAGTGACTTGTGACTTGTCTCCAGGAGAACTCCGACGACTTCGGGAACAGCTCGAGGAGCAAATTCGTCAAGCGCAGGCCGCAAGTGGGGTAAGAAGCGAAAGGCATGCGCAACGTAGTAGTTTTCAACTTCAAACGATACACTGTCAGTGGATTGCACAAAAGTTCACCAACTCATGGTCCTCTGCGTCTGCTGGTCAGACAAGACCCCGAACTCCAACAAAATGAGCGACTGCATCTGCACTAAGAATGGGCAAAGCATTCCTAACGCATGGAGCTTCTATACTCAAGTCGCTCTGATTCCGAAACCCCGCCTCAACTTGGAGTTAGCATCAGCCCTCAAGCGGTTGAGGGAACAAAGAAGAACCAGGAAGCGATTTGTGTGCTCAGGCGGAGGCGGAGCGCCAGCGGAAGCGGGCTGAAGAGGCCATGAAGAAGCTGGAGGAAGAGATGAAGAGTCTTGTCGGCAAGAGTGTGCGGACTGAACCCTGGAAATGAAAGCTGCGTTATCTGGGTACTCCCCGATCATACGTAATACTTCCTGCACGACCATAGAGTTTTCAGGAATGCTCCTCTATCAGCAGTCGTAGTACCTCTGTGTTTCTTCAAGCTGTTGTTTTTTCAAGTAGGAGGGATCAGATTGATTTCATGCCCCTTTCACGCTTTCTGGTCAGTGGGTACAGTGGCAAGGGGCGGCCTGCAATAACCGGGGTGGCGACTTGAACCTGTAGGAAAGCCGAGCAGCTGATCGCAGAACTGCGGCGGAAGCTGAAAGAGTTGCAGGAGTGACTCCATAGGGCACTTGGGATCACAGGGCGGACTGCTATTCGATGAGTGAGTGCACTCCTGAGTTTGGCATCATGTCTCTTGTGCCAGTGGACCACAGGAGCTCCTCCAAAAAGCCGGTCTGGGCAAACTGGCGCGGGACCGAGACTGTCGAGACGTAGGCAAACCGTCGGGGTCCACAACCCATTCCGCGCAGCGGGCTGCCCGATGCAGCAAAGTCCAGAGCTTCCAAAGAGGCTTCAATGACTTCAATGGATGGAGGGGAGTGCTCGGCATGAGGGGGTGGGCACGAAAAAGGTCAAAACCAAACAAACTTCAGGGATGCTGACAAAGAGATGGATGGGGCTGCCTTCGGGGTTTGATGGGATTGTGTGCACTTTTTGACCATTTGACCATCTGATCGTCCCCAGCTTCTGAAGACAGAACGTTGCACTCTGCCAGGGCGTCAAGGCCTCCTGTCGCAAGGTCGCAAAAAACAGGGGCCCACATTACGAACATTTACGGACGGATTCTCTGCCTAAACTGAACGTAATTTCTGCCCGGTCAAGAGATGTTCCTGCTCTGTGCAGCTGTGCGAACCAGAAGCTGACATGAAAGCAGCTGCAGACTAGATCTTGGCTTGTATTCTGGGGTATGGGTGGAGTCGCGTAGTTCGAGGTGGAGGAAGCCCTGGCAGCAGCTGGGCTGACTGACTTCCTCAAGGGGCGCGACGTGTTTGAGAGGTGTCCATGACGCAATTAGCGTCCCCACGTGTTGAAAAAAGAAAGAGTTGCTGTTAAGCTTCAATGCTATACCTGCTGCCTTTTTTTGGAAACCCTGGTCAGGCTCTATCGTGACGCCCTGCGGCGCATGCGAACGCAGGCAGAGATCCAGGCTCGCCTGACCGAGGAGAGCGCCAATCAGTTTGTCCGAACGCTACAAGATCTGGCCAACCACCCACTAGTCGCAATTGATGCGGCAATGGAATTGCATGGAGGCGGCGGCCACTCTCCCTTCCAGGTGATGCGCTTTTCCCCTGCGGAGACCCCAGGTGAAAGTGCCAGGCTGGTGCCAAGCATCCGGGATCGGCTTCCACGGTCCAAGACGGCTGCCATTTTGGGCGAGAATCGCAGCGAGAAGGATCATAAGAATGAAGGGGAGGATTCTGAAGGTGAGGGCACAGACTCTCAACGCGCCGGTCGTGTGCGCCGGGCCGTGACAGTAGCTTCAGGCATGGAAGAGAAAGCGAAGCTTGGCTCGGTCGGCTCGGTGGGCTCCATGAAGCCACTGGTAAAACAAGGTTCTGGTTTCGTGCGCATGTGCTCAATGGGCTCAGGCCGCGGAGAAGGTTTGTCTGTGTCTCCAAGTACGTCTATGAAATCGAGGCAGACAGCTCCGCCATCTCCTCAGCAGGCGAACTTGATATCGGCGCGGCCACTGGCAGCCGGACCGAGCTGGCCGTTGGGCAATGGCAACGTAGCCGTGGAGGGCAGCGGGAACTTCACCAGGGCCTCAAGCAGAGGCTCGGATGTTGCATCAACGCCGGTGGGAAGTCCGGTGAGGAGCCAATCGCCACCTCGTCACAGGCCCCAGGGCCTTCGCTCACGAAGCCCTGAGAAGAATTTGCCCTTGCAGCCGATCCTCTCCGTGAGCAGCATCGGCCCCAGACCTGCACCGTCTGCACCAAGACCTGCACCGAGCCAACTCATTCCCAGTGCAAAAGGACTGAGTGGATTCTGGTTCCTGGGTTAAGCGTCAATCTCCCGGTTCGAATCCGACCAAAACAGCATGCACAACCCATATTGTGCGCATCCCTACACACCAGGATCCGCAAAGCGTCGCGAGAGCAGGAGTTCTCCTGGGCGCCTCGGACAGAAGGCTTCCGAGGTACTTCGATCTGCTGGGAGCCTGGCCATGCCTTCCGAGTCTTGGCATTTGATCAGCGAGGCCGCAAGACGTGTTTATGATACTAGTGGCGGGCGTATATTCTATATATAGTCTTTATATAAAAGATCATATATATATATATATGGTCAGCCCCCCCCCCCCCCCCATGATCCACACCTATGGCTTTCTTGTCTTCGTCTTAGTCTGATTTTCTGCTTTTTCCTCGGAAAAATGCAGTCAAAACTGCACTGGAATACAAAAAACTCTAGTATATCATCCTCTATAAAAAACACACTAGTGTTTTTATGTGCATTTTGCTTCTGAAACTTGTGTCTTGCGGCCCCATAAAATTTTTGAAGGGTAGCAATTAGAAGTTTAAGGCTTTTCAGGGTCTTAGGGGTTTGTAAAATTTAGATGATCTGTGGAAGGCACCGGGGCTTCCCCAGACCATTTGCAATTTTAAAAATCCTTTAAAGGGGCAGCCCTTTTCAAATTTGAAGGGTGTTAAGGTACTTAAAGCCTTTCAGAATTTTCAAGATTTAAAGGATCTTAAAAGGCTTGAAAGCCCTTAAAAACCTCGAAACGTTTATCCCTTAAAAGGCTAAAAATCCTTAAAATTAAAAGCGGGCAGCCGTTTAAAATTAAGGAAGTTACGGATTTTAGAAAAGGACAGCCATTTGCAACTGCAAGAATTTCAGGGTTTTACGGATTTGTAAAAACTTATATGGTCTGGGGAAGGCACCGGGGCTTCTCCAGACCATTGGCAACTTCAAAAATCTCTAAACTCCGCAAAGGGCAGCCACTTAAATACGTAAGCAATTTACGGTCTTTAATAGGCTTAAAAGTCTTAAAACTTTCATAATCCTGAGAATGTTTAAACAGAAGCTTAAAGATTTTTACAAGGTTTTAAGGATTTTCAAAGTTTAGATGGTCTGGGGAAGACCCAGTGCCTTCCCCAGATCATGTAAACTTGCAAAAACCCTTAAACCCTTAACCCTAAGACCTTAACACTAAGCCCGTAGCACAAACCCCAAACACTTAACATGAAACCCTAAACACTAACCCTAAAAACTTAACACTATGCCCTTAGCACAAACCCCAAACACTTAACATGAAACCCTAAACACTAACCCTAAAAACTTAAAACTAAGCCCTTAGCACAAACCCCAAACACTTAACATGAAACCCTAAACACTTAAGCACATAGACCCTAAACACTAAACCCTAAACACGTAAACACTACACCCGACCCTAAAATCTAAACCCTAAAAACTAAACCCTAAACATTACACACTAAACCCGACACACTAAACCCTGAACACTAGTAAAAATCCTTAAAACCCTTAATCCAAAAACCAAACCCGAAACCCTTAACACTAAACCCTAAACACTCAGCACTAGACCCTAAAGAGTAACCCTAAAAAAACTTAACACTAGGCCCACGAACCCCAAACACTTGACACGAAACCCTAAACACATAAGCACCTATTTGCCTCGTGAAGATCATAGTACTCGGAAATTCCAAATCCTAAAGCCTTGGGAGAATCTCTGGCGAAGTTTGGACTTTTGGTTTGCAGGTGTTTCGGCACAAAAAATGCAATTTTCCTAAGCAACGGTTTTTCCACGCAAAATGGTTTTGTCGATTTAGTGTGAATTTATATTTTCAGCTTGGAGTGAGCAATGAAGGACAGCTATTGGGACACACGCCGCAAGCCGCCCGATAAGCAAGACTTGGAGTTTGCAGAACCCCCGAAACGTAGTGGACATATTCTACTGCGGAACCAATGAAGAGTAAAAAACACAAAAAACACGAGTGTTTTTGAGGTGTTAACAGCAAAACTGCTATGCCTTCCAGGTTTTTTGGCTTTCTGAGTATAGAAGGTCACATAATTTTAAACCGAAATTCGGTTGCAGATTTATAGACATTTTGCATGCATGATGTGTTACGTAAAATAGGCCCGGAAATACTCGACAAGTACGATTTTATCGGTATTTGCAGTGTTTTCGGCGTGCACTACTTGTTCACAAGTGCGTGGAAGCAAGCAGAAGAAGCAGAAGAGTAGTGTAGACAAGGAGGGTGTAGATCTTGGGGGGGGAGGGGGGGCTGACCATCTATGGTTCCGTGTCCCGTGTCGGTACCCCCCCCAACCCCCCCCCCCCCCCCCCCCCTCCATGGTATCCCCCCCCCCCCCCATGGTATTCCCCCCCCCCCACCCCCCCTCCACCCACCCCCCCAACCCCTAAACCCTAAACCCTTAGCCCTTAACCCTAAACCCCTAACCCCCTAACCCCTAACCCTCAACCCTCAACCCTCAACCCTCAACCCTCAACCCTCAACCCTCAACCCTCAACCCTCAACCCTCAACCCTCAACCCTCAACCCTCAACCCTCAACCCTCAACCCTCAACCCTCAACCCAACCACACCACCCCAGGGGGGCCCAAACCACAGGGGGCGGGGACCCTAAACCCTAAACCCTAAACCCGAAACCTGAAACCCGAAACCCGAAACCGTGCCATGGGGGGGGGGGTACCATGGGGTGGGGGGGGGTGGGGGGGGCAGCGACGCTGCACCATATGTATATATATATATATATATACATGCATAGCTTTATATACTATGTTATATCATATTGTTTTCCTGACAGTCCCTGTTCTAAGTTCGGCGTGCGCAAGCTGACCCATCCAAAAGCCATTCCTCGCTGCCAAAAAAGGTACCCCAGTCGCAGTTCCTGCAAGCCATCCAGGGAAAGAGACCGGCGTCGTGATCTTTCTGGGTGACTTATCGCCAGATTCCCAAGTTCCAAGTTTCATGACTACTAGGCGTACTGATAGCTTCTAAACTCTCGCGGCGAGTTATTGCGCAATTGTGTTATCATTCTGTGAGCCAAGATGATTCCTTTTCGGAGGTTGCAGGCAGTGCCCACAACACCTGTGAGGAGCTGAAGGTGCAGCAAAAATGCAAGACTCGTCCCCCGACCAGCTGCCATAAGCAGCCAGCAGTCGAGCCAGCACCCACCCCTCAAGAAAACATTTGCTGCATGGCTTCGGCTGGCTCCTCCAACAGCAGGACATTCGAGCACCTGGATCTCACTTGTGCTTAGCAGAGCTTGCATGTCTCGTAGATGCTGTGAGGAGCTCTGAATGTCCAGGGTTGATGTTGCTACAATGCCACAGCCTCTCATACGAGAAGCGCTGCTGGCTATGACAGCTGTCCAAGACAGTTCTTATGGGTTTTGCAGCAGGAGGCCACTGGAAGTTGAAGGCAGGAGGAAGAATCCGAGTCGTGGCTCACAGCCGAATCTCAAGCTTTCTGGTTTCACAAAAATGGACTCATTCATCAGTTTCCTCCCGCTGCTGCCGACTCTGCACCAGCCTAACGCTGACGCATTGCAAGCCCGGTTGCAAGTGCCATGTCCATGGTCACAGGTCTGTGAGTGGATCACATGGGAAGATGAGAGAATCAATGTCCTGTTAGATGCTTCTGCAGCAAATATATGAATGGTTCAGCAAAATTCGACGGGCAGGCTATGGCAGGCTCTGGTTTCTAAAATCGCTTTTCACAACATTTGCAGCTTGATGCTCAAATGCGTTTCACTAACCCGAGAACATAGAGAAACAAAAAGAAGCTCAAGTGACCGGAATGCACTTACGCACAGCTTCACTTGGGTCGAGACGTTCTTGCCTGCCTTGGGGGTCACAGAAGCTTGCTGCCCTAGATGCCGAGATTTTACAAGCAGCTGCTGGTCAACAGCCAAGGAGAAACTTGGCACTCTTGATACGATCTGGTCCACCAGCCGCTGGGCCGCGGCAGAGAAGCACCTGCCCGTAAAGCTTGGTATGACTCGGCTCGGCTCGGCTGATTGCACCTTCGCAGCCTTTCTTTCATGGCATTTTTTTGTCGATCGAACCGAGGGCTGGCACAGAATGCTCAAGGAGTACTAGCAAATCAGGCCAGCGGCTCATGATCAGGCATGAGAGGCGAGTTGAGCCAAAGGCCTCCAGGGCCTCCACGAGTCTTGTGCAAAGCCGAACATCTTCAGAAGCAGTTCCACGAAGGCCACCATTCAGCATCTGCAAGAGAGCCTCGAAGCCTTGGCACCGGGTTCGCTGCAGCATGCCAGAAAAGCAGCATGGATTTTTTCGAGTTTGTCCATAAGAGTGCACGAGATGTTTGGGTCATCTGCCTCTGGCTAAACTCGGGTAGAAGTTGATCATGAGGTCTCCCACCAGGAATGCTGATGCCAACGGCAGCAACTTCACCGTAATCAACCAGACGACCACAAGCGACGAATTGGAGGATCTTGCCAGGCCCCTCGGCTGAGCTCAGCTCAGCGCATCGTGGAAGCAAGTGCTAAATTTGAGCGGTTCAAAGGTTTCAAAACCGTGCTCTCAGGTTTACCACGCCCAAGCTGGTGGGTGAACTCAAGGAGAGTGCGCACCTAGCATAGCCCGGAATGCCTCAACTGCAATCTGGAAGGGCGAACCTCCCGAGGCGTAAGACGTCCCGAATGCTCAGCATATGGTTGTTTCCACAGAACAAGACTGCCAGTTCAGGGTCTTGAGGCAAGCATTGCCAATGCCGAAGATGTACAATGTCGAACAAGCCAATCTGTAGTTCCCAAATTCCCCCTGCTGAAGCTTCGAAGTATTGTAGCCGAGGCACGTTGAGTTTTTAGAAAGCTGTGCAGCCTTCGATGCAGGATGCTGCGTCACTTGAGCTCAAACTCAGGATTTACGTTGCGCAATTTAGCAGTCTAATAACTGTACCACTCGACCACAAGCTTTCCACACCTGGCGGTTTGGCGGTTGACCACTGTCGGTTCAGGAGGACCCGGATCTGTTGGGACCCCGCGACGTGAAAATCCATGAGTCCACTCATGCCTTCATTGTCACCTCCAAGAATCCGGGCCTCAGCGTGGTGCCTCGGAATTCATAATTATTCGAGAGAGAGAGAGAGAGAGAGAGAGGGAGAGTCAAAATTCAGGGGCTCAGCAGTTTGTTTTTGTTTCACATTTTGGAAGGTCAGCCTCGAAGATCCGGAGCATCCATCGCTGATCGGCACAGTGTTCCCAGGTCGAAGTGAGTCCCCACCCGTCTCAATGTCAACATGGCCGGGTAGCTCGCGCCCTCGTGGGGAAAGATCTCTAGAATGGGGATGGGATTTCAAGCGCAGTTTTGGATTTCCGGTGTGCTCAGTCGCAGTAGTCCGCTTTTCCTTTTTCTGAATACATAGGCTGAACCTCAGACCATCCACAGCACAACCACGAGCTGCATTCGACGTAAATCGTGCGCCGGTGCCCAGGCACAACGAGAACCTCATGGCAGAGGTGCTTTCTCGCTGTTTTGACAAAGAGCGAGAGCGGACATGAGACGATAAACGCAGAAGTACCATGACGTGATCCATGCATGGTCTTGACATCGGCTGTTTCACAGCCTCTGTCCGAAAATGTCTTGTGAGTGCATCTATAGCAGCTATAGGAGCAAGTGACGGCACTTCGAGATTAACAGCCAATCAATTCATGGTTCAGGCGCGGGCGGTGGCTTTGAGCCGAGAAAGTGGTCACCATGCTTTTGTGGTTGCTTCGAACTCTGCCTCCGTGACTGCCATCGACATCTCAGACCCGGCTGGGCCAAGTTGGGATGGGGGCCGCGGTGCTGTGCCGCTGTGAATTCATTCAACCATTGTCAGTACAGTAAAACCTCTGGGACAACAGTGGCTGCAGAGCATGCTTCTCAAGACAAGCGGTCGAAACATGCAGCCTGACCTGCAGGCACGTATGCGCGTGGTAGGCTCGCTGCAAGAGGCTTGTTGGCAAGTTCAGATCTTGTGCAAGGCACCTGTGTAGGGTTGTCGAAGGTGCATCCACCCTCTTTTCTACCAGATGTAGGGAGCTGAAGCTGCCATGCCAGCACACTAGCACAAGAACAAGTAGCCCTGCCTGCGACTTCCTGTCAGCTGTACACAACAAAGGGAAATTGCTTGTCCGCTGGCGACTCCAGTCTTCTCAGTTGTTCTTGGGCAAGTGGCAAGGGGTGGGTTTTTCTGACGTGGCATGTTTTGTTTAGATTTTTTGTTCTGCATCGCTCAACGTCTACTTGCAGAAATCCGCTTTCAGGCCAATCTGTACGTTTTTAGCTGGTTATAGGGCTTAGGGTTTATAAGGCGCAATTAGATGTTTGCCCCAGCGTCTACTGCTGTTCCCATGGTCACTTTAGCAGGGCTGGCAACAGGTGCTCCATGCGGTGTTTGTGTATCTCTTGAACATATCTTTTTGTCTACCTTTTCTTTGTCAAAACCGTTTCGGTCGCACTGCTTGGTCCAGATCAGACTCATGCACCAACGGGAATTCCACGGACCAGCCACCAGCAACCTGTACGGCAGCTTGAAAACCCAGCTCCCCCTTGGGTATTGTTAACTTTGATGATAGCACAAGTATACATGAAAAACTCGCATCGTTAGTACCGTGGCATCTGCCACATAGCCGATGATTCGTCGTGTTCCTCACGGCTGCTTCAAACGCAGCGTCTGCTTGGGGACTCGTATTATTCCCTGATACATGAGCTTGACACTTGGCTGGACAAACCGATGTACAATGTACGCTATGGCTATGGCTATGACTGATGTGAAGATCACAATGTCAACTTTGTGAGACGCTGCCACTCAACTTGGCCATGGCAATGCCACTGAGGAACATATACATATATACTATACCATACTGTGACAAACTCAACAGGTCCCAACTGTACTGGTCCCCAAGTAAGTGTAGACAGGGGCATGCACTTGCTTGCTCATTCAAGTTCCGCATCGCCTCTTCCGTCACGAATTTTATCGACGTAACTAATAAGGACAAAGTGGCCCTCAGCGGGGCGCGGGCGATCGCTGTGCAGGGAGGCTATGCTTTTGTCGCAGGCCTGCAATTTGTGTGGCAGTCGGAGTTGGAGGGTTTGGCACAAGGAACTGCTAGACTGTTTCTTGCTGTAGCTCAGCTGGCTTGTGAGAATGCATGCGCTGTGAGTCAGCCCGGCTGCTGGCTACCAGCCCAGTGGAAAGAGTTATTGTTTCTTCTACTTCGGACACTCTGATATTCAGGTCCCCCAAGAAGTCACCCAATGAACGTGATGCTGGTACCTGAAGTGACCTGGACGCAGGCACATATTCACACACCCTGTGTGTCATCGACGTTTCCCAGCCCGCGCACATGACTTTGACAGGTGCCTGGATGAATAAGTTCATGTTCGGAATTGACGCCAAAATCATAGGCATGCCCTTGATGGACAATCTGGGAAGCAAAAGCCAATGAGCTGCATCCTTGCAGGTTCTGTGTCTTTTGCGCCTGGCCTGCAGACGATAAAAAAAAAAAAAAAAAACAAAAAAACATGCTAAGGAAAACTGCATGATGCGGATGACTTGCAGTTTCCAACGAGCGTCGACGTTGTTGGCCACCTCGGCTGGTTGGATTACACACTATAAATATACCAATATCAGTTGAACAGGGGAGTGGAGATGACAGCAGGTCAGTGGGGCCTTGCCCATGTTGCTTTGAGTCCCGAGAGAGCCGGCAAGTTGAAATCAAAACCCCAGCGGTAGGAGGAGTCTCGGAACGAGGAGAAAAGAGGCTGCTTACAATACGGGTTGCTTAAGCAAATGCCGAAACAGTGGGGACATACATGGAAAGCTCATCCAAAGTCTTGTACAGAGAGAGAGGGAGAGAGAGAGAGAGAGAGAGAGAGGGAGAGAGAGAGATGAAGAGAGCGGAAAGGAGCAGACTGACGGCACAGTAGATGTGGCAGCGTGGTGCTGAGACAACTTCGTCTTTGTGACGAGCTCCTCGGGCCATGCCCTGGTGATCGTTGACGTCTCGAACCCATCACTCCCGGAGAAGTACAGCCTCCAGGTCAAAATGGGTGCGGCAAAGCTGCTGCAGTTGCTGAGTTTTATGAAATTCAGATTGCTTGAGTTTGAGCGGAAATTAAGGTGTTCTCGGCGATGCACCAAGCCTGCGAGAAGCACGGTGCGTTGTGGTGCAAGGCAAATATGCTTACGCATCCTATCTGCATTTGCATTGAAAGTCTTGCAGACAACTGCAAATCCTCCAGAAACGGTCCAATACAATCAAGCCGCATGCAACACAATACACTGAGGTTGCCAGTGCCACGCCCAACACACTCTCGGCAGCTCTCTCGGTTTTTGTTGCTCTTGGTTGTTGTTACACCAGTTGTCTGTAATTGTAAACGCTTGCGCGCGCCGCCTCGGCGCCGGGCTGGCCCGGCTGGCCCAACGTGGGGTGTGCGCATCGCCGACGAAGGAAACCCAAGGGCCCAAGTCCTCTGTCACATGGCCACCACACACGTCATGAGTTCAAGAGGTAGGAGGGAGGGTTTTTGCAAGGGGGGGGGGGTCCCAGAAGGTTTTGGCACTGTTTCGTGCTCTTTGGGAGCGGGCGACTGGAGGGGAGGGGGGTGTAGTGATGGCAAGGGTTGGGAAGGAGGGAAAGGGTCCAGATGCTGGTCTGCTTGTTCTAGATGCCTGTCGGCCAGAAGCCGAGGCGAACTACATAACGCAGACGACTGTCACTTTTTGGAGATGCGGGCATGAACCAGACATCTTTGCCTTTCACGCGACTGCTTGGCCAAGGTCATTGACATCTCCGACAAGCGTAACCCGCTTCTAGTTGCGGTGGTGGAGCGTGCCACTGCTGACATGGCAAGCCATGTCGCTGTTGACTGCACCCTGTCTAAGTGTGGTGGACGGACATCATCATGCTGACCCTGTGCAGCTGGGGGAGGTATCATGCATCCCTCAATATCCCTCACATGATATGGTCAAGTGAGTCAAGGTCGCTTTGCGTATGTGGCGAGTGCCTATCACGATGCGCTGACGGTACTTGACATTCGCAACCCGCGAAAACCAGTGTACGTGGGAACTCTCAGAGTCCTGACCTCGGTTCTACGAAGTTTGCTCGGGGCTGGTTTGGAGTTGTGTGACAGAGCGGCAGTGGCAATTTCTCTCCTGGCTTCTGAAAACAGCACCTAGAAATGTTGCAAACTAAACTCTCACTTGTTTTTCGAGTGCATGTTTTTCTGTTGCGGTTCCGGTGAAAAGTGCGCAGGCGTGCCCAGGCAGGACATCCTGAGCGCAGTAGCTGCACACAGTTTTGCTCATGAAGTTGAAGCAACTAGTCGAAAACGAATTACGGCAATCGGGGGGTAGACACTGACACGGTGAACCCATTCCTTTTCCAGCCATCTTCCCGCGGAACGGACACCGGGGCACGCAATCCAGGCAGGGATAGGGTTGAAGATCTAGGGCAAGGTATTTGTCCCGACCCAATCCGTGAGACAGAAAGACATGAGTCGTTCCCTGGGATGAGAGGGAGGTGTATGTAATAAGAAGAAGACAGGCATCTCACAGGGACACCACAAACTGCATAAACCAACGCAGGGCCGCACCACAATGGGCTCAACCGGGACGCTGCCCGGGCTATGCTGGCAGGCAATGCCGGTTGCAGGATATCTGTTCAAAGATCGGCGCGATCACACAACAGAGCGACTGCCGATGCATGTAGTAGTGCACACTACTGACTGTATGCCGGGCACCCTGCAGGAACCGAACGATGGCAGCCGAATGGCTCCGAACAGACAAACTCAAAACGAACCTGATATCACCACTAGACACGAAGCATTCACTCCTGAAGAGTTTGCTACCCACAGTGCCACTATGTCACACGCCAGCTAAGCTGCACTTCGAACATACTCATTCGAAAGCTGGCAGCCGCGATCCACAGTGATGCACAAAGTGACATGTCAGAAAGTGACATCCACATTTTCCCTTCTCGCCTACAAGACAGACTACTACGGCGAGCCACCCGACTCGGATAAATCCAGAAGTGGAAGAAATGTGTTGCCGAGCAATCCACCGGCTGCTCTCGTTTCCACAAGAAGAGAGGAACAATGCGCCAAAAGAGGATCTTCAGTGTTTCGAGCTTGCAGAGACTCCGAGCATCAGGACCACTCCCTCCTCAATGGCATCGAGACTGTCGCTGGGCTTTGCGTTGAGGATATTTATGGGTGTCGCAGGCATCAGAATCAGCACATAAGCATGCCGTAGGTCCATGCCACAGTAAAACCGGGGCCGAGGCCCGCAACACCTAGGCCCAGTGTGAGAAGTTTGGCCTAGATGACGTACCAGAGGACAGAAAGATGGCCCTGCCCACGAGACAAGCAATTATGCCATAGCTGCAGGTAGCCATTTCCGGGAAGTTTGGTGTTTTCGTCAGCCCCACGAACGATGCCATGGTCGCTCCTGGGCACGGCATGGGCGCAGCAGCTATAGCACAAAGAGAGGCGGCCAAGCGCTTTTGGACTCAAACTTGAATGTTGGTGCTCAGGCTTGGCAGCTGCCCTATTACTGCGACACAGAGAGCCCGTTGGAGTCGAAGCAGCTGCCCGGTCACTCTCCGGCCATAGTATGACATGAGTCCCGTGTAAAGTGCATGTTTGTGTGCGGCATGGACACCCTAAGATTAACGCTAAGCGACCCGTCTCCTCGGCCTGAGCCTCTGTAACAAGGCAACCCAAACCAGGGGGCTGGGGGCAGGTGGGGTGGGGGGTGGGGGGGGTGGGTGGGGGGGGGGGGGGGGGGGGGGGGGGGGGGGGGGGGGGGGGGGGGTTGTGGTGGGGGGTTGTGCTACCCGGACACCTATGGCCCAAGGCCTCGGCGGATATGAGTATGTTGAACGTGTACAGTATACTCACTGTTCGGAACATCTCGAAACACTGTCCAACAGAGGAGCCGGAAGCGAACCTGCGAATGTCAGCACCGCCCAAACCGCGGTGACCTGGTGAGATCTATATGAGGCTCCGAGGTGTTTGCCTGTGGGCAGACAACCAGGAAGAATGCGCACATCGCACCTCCGTAGTATGGCAGTTCCTAGTTTGCTTGCCTGTTGTATGGTAGGTGTTTTTATGGTACTGTACAGACCCCACTGTCCGCATGACAATGTGCCCCTGCCAAGCCGTCGAACCAGATGGCACACATGTGTGAGTTCGCACTAGCAGCCGCTAGCAATTGCCCATCATGCCGGCTTAGCAGATGCAGGGCAGCACCTTAACTCTTTTATCTAGACCAGCTTCGTGGCGATACGCCTAAATTCCAATACTCCCTATCAGTTTTTGGGACCAGTGTCCCAAACCGGAAGAATCATTTTTTGCACTCAATGTTACAACTTAGTATGATCAGACCAATAGGTCTGCCTGAAGGTTTGTGACAAGTACTCCGGTTCACGTTCTTTACACGTACTCGGCTTACACGAAGTTGGTCCTTTGGTGCACATCTTGCCGTGAAAAGGTTCTCGGCAGGATGGTCATCAGAAAGGCGCCAGGCCTGAGGAATCCAGCAAACTGCGATGCAGACTTCGGAGGTCCAGGCATTTTTGTAGCATTCTGCTGCTTATCTTATGTTTTCGGAAGCGCAAACGCGCACCATCTCGCAAAAGCGAGCTGACTTGAGACGATGCCGCCGAGAACAACAGTTATAAATGTTGGAGCGCATGTTGCAACAGACCTCACTGTTTGCACAAATGTTACCTCAGCTTATGCATCTCGGATTGCAACGCTTGGCATCTGATGTAAAAGGCTGACGCCCGACAATATTCTTATGACACACGTCGCTGGCTCCTCTTTTAGCCAGACAGCTGTCTTCATAGGGGAGTTCTTTGCGAAAGGGTGAAACACTTCCGATGAGTCTTTTGACCTAAGGACTCAGGACTTCAGGCAGCATTGTTCGCAGTAACTATTTCCCCTGGGTTCTCAGAGACGTCAGCCTGCGGAAGTTGCTTTTTGCTACCAATCCCCAGTTTTCTCTTTTGTCCACGAGGTCCACTTCACCTTGTGTCTCGTGTTTATGGGTTCTCCGCCAATGCCAAGTCTATTTGCCCCAGGTGGGCGGCTGGTGCTGTTGTGTTTCCGAGCCTGTCTCGCTGCTAGACAATTGGAAGTCAACAACTTCTAGGCTTGAAGGTCAAGCACAGAGCCGTTGCAAGGCGAATGTGTTGTATGGCACCTAGCGATACAAAGTGGTCTGCTCGCAAAACACTGCGCATGTGGGGAGTCAACTTGAACGCTCAGTTCCTGGAGGTGAAGATCGAAGTTGCCAATGGAGAGGAGGTCCTGCCACGTCCTGCCACCTCTCAGTCCACCACATGGTTTGGCTTCTCTTGGGCGCTTCCATTCTGGTTCCATCGTAAGGCTTTTACAACACACGACAATTAGTCACTCCGAGTCATTCGTGTCTCCAAGCACCAAACCACTGGGCTACGAGTCTCCACGTGAAGCGGTACTCGACTAGGCAAGCTTGGGGGAAAGTGCACTGTTCTTCACTTGTTCGGGCTGGTCTTTCTGTCCAAGTGGTTGTCTGCGTCTTTGTGTGAAGTTGCGCGGCGCCAAACTTGTCAAAATCAAGCTAGATCCCATCAGATGACGGAAAGTTTCTGCACTGACTGTCGACTTTCTGGACTTACCGAGCGGCTGTTCAAGTGGCAGTCCCTGACAGAAGCGCTATGCGATTGTCACGGCAAGCTTGTGACTTGTGACAAAGCTTACATGCCGCCCCATGCAATGACGGATGGCGGGCTAGCAGAAAGCGGACCGTGGCTGCCCCAGTCACTGCTGAATTCATGTCTGATGCCTGGTGCTTGCTTGTCTTTTCATGCTCGTGATGTTCAAGAAATGGCTGTGATAAGGTGAAGAGACGGCGCATGCGCCGTCCCCCTCGCCTGCTCCTCGCTACTGCACTGGCCCGGCACTCACCCTCTAGAGCACCAGGTGCAACAGCACGTCACGCTGTCTTTGTGTTAATTAGTGACTGTTTGCACAACTTCAATGCGCACGTGATTTTTGACAAGTCACAGTAGCTGGTGCACAAAGCCGCTCACCTCTGCCCCCCAGCAAGTGTACACATTTCCACACACATAGCTGCGTCATCAAACCAATGCTGGAAGCAACTGCAGACCTTAGCAAACAGCAGAATGCTTCACGCGCTTCTGTGCAGATCTGGCACTTGCGCATTCAGGAGTTTTCCTTCTGTGAATATGGAGCATTCGGAGTTCAGAAGGTTTAAATCTCGGCCGCTTGAATATTTGAGGTACTGCCCCTGCTGGCTCCTGGTGTATACTTGTCCCCGGTGATACAGCCGGCGCCCGAGTTTTGTTTCTCGGAGCGCGTTTGGACATGCAGAAACGACGGTTTCGTAATACCCACAAACTAAGCGACGGCCCTCCATTCCCTCCAGAGATGTGCTCAAACATCGTCTCTGCTTGCAAGAGGTTCTTACGTAAGCTCAAGTCGGCTTAAGTGCAGCGGTGTTGATGCAGTCAGCACAATCTGTGCAGTTGGAGTCTTGAAGAACTCTTTGCAACACACCATGTCACGCGATCTGTGCAGTTGAAAGAGAAGTTCTTGTCCAGGCCATGGTCTTTGCAAGGCCAGGTGCCTTTCGTTGTCCGCTTCACCCCGCAGACTGCGGCCCCGCAGGGCTCTGAGTCTCTTGATGCCCCTGAAAACACGCTGTCTATAGCCCAGGATATGTTCACAGAGCCGTGCTTGGCATGTCGGATCATGGATCCTTAGGCCGACAGCGCTCCGATCTCGGTTGCTGCTGCAGGCGTGATCATTGCTCATTCACCTCTGAACCTTGATCTTTGCCCCTGAGCCCAGTTCAATCTTTCTCACATTGCTGGGATTGCGCCCAGTCTCTCTGCCAGGGCTTCAACGTAAGCACGGTGGAGCTGCTATCGGCCACAGGCCTACCTCAGGTCTTGGAGGTCAAGGCCTCAGCTTCAACTTCCCACATTGGCATGACAGATTTGCCCCCTGTGCCCTGCAGTATCCTGCAGTCAGAGCATCCTGAGAGGTTGCAACTGTTTCAAGCCCCGTGGGCCTCGGCGCGTTGACGGTGCAGGGAGCTCGGGTTCGAACATGCATCGAGATCCTGGGCTCCTGACCTATGTTGGCGCAGGCCGAGCGGCTTGTTGCGGGCAGGATTTCTGAAGAAGTATATATAGATGCTCGAGCCACACTGGAGTCTCTAGAGCAGCATCGCGCACTGAGGTGGGAGCTGCTCTTGGGTGCATCCTTGGCCAAAGGTGCCGAAGTCACCCTTCTGCTGCGCCGGGCACCCAAGTATCGCTTGCATTCACGATCCCAAAGGATTCCCAAGGCCAGGCCGCCCGATTCTCGATCTACAATTGCTCTGTGGGTGTGTGCTTGTTTCAGGGGAAGCACTTCATGGGGTGCGCGGACGTTCGTTCGGTAGAAGTTTGAAACAGAGCGGAGACCCCTTGTGATGAGAAATTTCTGCGGGTTCTCACTTTGCAGGGCTGCAGCTTCACAACGACGCTTTGGCCCAAGCTGGCATTCTGAAGAGTTGCGGGGTTGAAGTTGCAAGGTTTTTGGAGGCCTGGTGGATCAAGATGGTTTCGAAGCTCAATGACGCTCACCGTTCATTGATGTGGCGAGTTACGATGAGTTACGCTGTGCCCAACTTGGTTCAAATGCTTATGCGATCATGGTGGTAGTGGGTTTCGGCTGGTTGCAGTACTGCAAAGAGATCAGGTTTCACAGCTGCAGACTGCCAGGCCATGTTGAAACCATTGCTAAGCTTCCAGATTTGTGATCAACCCATGGAACCTCAACATGCGCCTTTCTCGATGTACACTTTCCCAGCGCTTTGCCAAGTTCAATGTCGGCATGGAGCTGCTTATGCCGGAAGCGCAGCTCGTCGTCGAATATGCGCTGGCCATCAGGCCAGCCCAAGCCTGTTCTACGCTGCTACATTTCCATACCTGACACAAGGAGTGCCCTGTTGAAGCACAGGCCGAACCTCGCAGTGATTACCTGCCATACTACACAGACTAATTACGTGGAAAACCGCTCTTCTAGTGGGGCTTAACCAGGCACCGGGAAGCCCCCTTGGCTACTAATTACTACTGCTACTACTATTACGACGGCGGCGGTGGCGACGGCGGCGGCTACCATGTCTACTACAACTATTCTGTGAACTATACTGTACATGTGACTAGTACGACCACACTGGCAATTAGTACAGCATTTTTTGGTTATTATTGCTTCCAGTCTGTATGTTTATGCTTCTTTGTTTGTTTGCATGTTGATGGTGTTGCTGCACGGCGGCCAGCAGGGCGGCTTCGGATGACACATGTCCAGCGCATGCGCGTGGTGCAAAGATGTGCCAAGGTGATGACATCCATGTTGTTGGCAGCTTTCTTCCTCACACATCCCCGATGCCAAAGTGCCGACGCTTGAGTTGCCATCACAGTGTCCCTGACCAGAGAGTCTGGCTGCATCTGCAGGCCAGAAGCTTTCTACACCCAAGAAGTGAGACCTGTCTGCAAAAGAGAAAGGGGGGGAGAGAGGGAGACACAGAGCGAGAGAGAGAGAGAGAGTCGCAGGAAGGAAGGAGGGAAGCAAGGGAAGTGATGCAAAGACGCAAGCATCGCGTGTTCAACTCTTCAACCTCTTGGACTTCAACCATGACCAGCTTCTGAAGAAAACAAGATTATCAGAAAATGCACAGTTCTTGCTCTTCTACGCTGCGCTAGCTCAGCAAAGGTCTATCGTGATGTGGCATCCTGCAAGCATGTTGCAGTAGAACGTGTCAGTCGGCATTTGCATTTGTAAGCTGTTGGGTCTGGTTTGCTGCTTTGTGTTTCTATTGTCTGGTGTCAGCCGACCGCTGCACTCGCAGGATTGCGGTCCCCTTCAATGCTTCAACTTGCAGCGAACAAGGTGCAGGCTTGCCACTTCACGGATTCAGCTTTGACTGGATCTGACATGCGCAGCAATAGGGTATCAGACATGTTCCGGTTGGCTGTGCTGCTCAGACAACGCTTCCGTGCAAGTTAAGGTCGGGCTTTGCAGGTGCGGGTCTCGTTATCAGCCAGGAAACAGCAATAATAACAAGATACATACACAAGTAGATTATCCAGCTTTTGTGTGGTTAGTCGCAGACAGCAGGGGGCCTGAGTTCGTTATCTTCAGCGCAGTAGATGTCCTGCACACAGAGCTCCTTGCATGTGCTTAGCGCCTGGCAATGCCTAGGCTTCGCTCCTTTTTGCGGCCACCACTCCAGGTCTCCGGTTGGAATTCAGGCCCCGATGTTCTCGCTGCAAGCTTGAAGCTTGATTGTTATGTTCCAAAGTGGTATGGTCACGGCCATGATGCACACTAGACACATCAAAGCCCTGAAGCATGTGTTAGAAGATGCTACAAGGAAACCTAAGCAAACTGGAGCTGTGCTCCAGTATACTCCAGCAAATGGCTCTTGGCAAGTGGACTTCACCTGCATTCTTTGCTTGTGTTGCTGCAAGGCTGGACGTGTCAGGGACTCAGTCCGGCCAAGTCGCTATGGTGCGAGGCATGCGACAGAGTCCCAGGTTCCGAGGGCCTTGTATCAGGGTTTAGGGTTTATAGGGTTTAGGGCCCTCTGCCATGCATCAGACACGCTCACCGCCGGTGTTGTTAAAAGGTCAGCTGCTGCCGGGGACGTGCTGTGGTTGCTGCCTCTCCATGTCCTTCTCTAAGAGCAAGTGCGTGCAAGTACTGGGAGTCGCACTGTCAGAGTCATGAAGGCGCTTCCCACTTGGAAGAGCGTCGTGCGCCATTGCGCTGACTAATCAAGGCCATTCACCACGATTTTCATCTTCCCGATGGAAGCACCTGCCCAGAACTAACTGCGGAGGCCTTCCGCAAAGGTTTCGTGTTTGGACTCCTTCACCTTCCGGCGTCATGCATTGTTCTCTGCCTCGCCGCTCTGTTAGACTGCCGAGAGGACCCCACAGTTCCCGCTGTAAATGCATCCTGGGATGCTGCGTGCCGCTTCCGGCAGCTGGGCCTGGGAGGCCGGACCTTTTTGCAGACCTTGGGGGAATTATGTAGAGTTATCGGTCCAGTCTGACGTCTAAAGCACAGCAGTTCTTTGCTGCAGACTTGTGGCCATGGGCTTTGGGTCCGTGAATTGGACTTGTTGCAGAGAGCTTGTGAAAATAGTCATAGTCATAGTCGCAGTCGTAGTGATGGTGGTCACATTCTGCAGAATGCTTCATAGTGCTGCCTTCCATGTGCCGGAGAGTCTTACAGTGGTACTCGGGCCAGCCTTCTTCGCCTCAGTCTCTTAAAGTTCTCAGGCCACAGCAATGCCGTGGAGTTCACAGTGGCTGGGGCCTGACTGCGGTCAGACTTTTTTGCAGACGAGCACGCAACAGTGTTCAGTTCATGCGGTGCCTCATGCCACGATGGAACACCCCAAGTTTCCTACAAACCGAGAAGAGAGGACGTTGAGGTTCGGTTGGGGATGCCGGCTTGCACTGGCTGCTGGCTTTATGCGAGAAGGATGCTGGGGTCAACAGCTCTGCATGATCCAACTTCGTCTACGTGTAGCTGATCCGTTCCGAAGAGGACCATTCAGCATCAATCCAGTAGCAATGGCACAATAGTCAAGCCTGAACACGTTGTCCATGCATTTGGCTACTTGAGGCATCTCCTGTCGCCGCCCTGCCTGTGATCGTGTCGCTGTGGGCCGCTCAGACACTCCACTAGAACAGGCCGGCATCAGGGTCTTGACATAGCTGCAAATACCGCGCTTCCGGTACGAGGTCACTGCCTGCCCCTGCTACTGGCACTGGCGGTGAGTGGCTGATTGCGCTGACAGATGGGTTGGGGACTTGCTGCAGACTTGCCTGCCGAAGTTGTTGCGGGGCTTGGGGCCAGAAGCACTTGCAGGATCTGGTGTCAAAAGTTCAGATGCTATGTCATGGGGGCAGCCGCTGCCATCAACATGTGTAAAGGCTGGCAGACTGCGACGTGCAGGTCACTGACACGCAGTCCGATACTGAGGAAGCAGGGAGAAACATGGATGATTCAGCTCTCCAATCGCATTGGCACCAAATCCACAATGCCTTGCCCCGAGGCCCAGCTTGACAGCCCCTCTCGGCCTCCTGGTCGCCACAAGCAGCAGTGCCTTTATGGCTGCTGCGTTTATCGTGAGGGCCTATTTTGCCAAGAATCCATACTTGGCCAGAATGCAAGCCTCCAAATCGTTTGCCCAGAATATTGATTGCAGAGGATGTGACCCTGACATTGACCGGTGATTTGCCGCCTGGCCCTGGCCTCGGGCTCTTGTCCCAACAACGCAAGGCATCGTCCCAACCCGAAGGCATCATCCCGAGGTCATAGCCCTGGTAAATCGACGAGAGATGGGGAGTTGTATGGCGTGCGGGTGTGTGTCGCTCGATCAGACAAATGACGATAAAGAGCAGATGGAACGACAACCCCATACCCTGCGAAGTAACGCTGGGCGAGTCGGGCTTTCTTGGATTATTGGTTTTCATTGTCGCAATCTCAGGTGGAGAACTTGTTTTGCGCCTTGTCGACACATCGCCTGCCACGCTGCTGGCATGCGAAGAGCGTCCCCAGGCTGAGTGGGCCGAGACTCTTAAGAGTCTAGGAACTCTCACTCACTGCTACATTTGTTTTTGACTTGGAGACAGGCCTTCGTGCCTGTGCGGCTTTTCTCCTCCGCAAGCATATTTGCCTTGCTCTTGGAAAACCAGAGGCTGAGCACAGGACTTGGAGAATCGTAATCATCAGTACTGGTTTCTGCCACGATGGGCTCACGTGCAAATGCCATTGCTGCACTGCAAGCCGCCCGTGTTCATGGCGTGCGGCTTGACAACAATCCTTGAGATGGGCTGAGGCTTCATCTGATGTGTGCCATGTCCGTATGAATACCCGTTGGGTCTGATCCTCAGTGCAGTGGTACAGTGTGGCCAGGGCAGCCAAAACTTGCTAGCTGCTCCACTTCATTTGTCCCATGCAGCACGTAACGCCGCCCACGCCACCCTACTGCAAGCTTCCACCTAGTGACCATCGCTGGCCCAGAATCTTCCTGCAGGCTGGGGTCGGCTCAGAGCTCGCAGTGCGCCTTTCAGTGGTGCATGGAGAGGCACACACACGTCCCATGTGCCCCGGACACAATTACACACAAACGGAGTCGAGCTTGCGAAGCAGTTTTTGTTGGCACATGTCATGACTTGTCACTTGCCCTTGTACTCAGCGTCGCTTGTTTCTTACTGCTCGTTGCCTTCAAGCTGATGTGCAGAACTCTACAGCCGTTGCCGTCGAAGCGCGGGCGGAGCTGTCCGGAGAGGCCAGGCACATTGGTGGCTGCGAGGTTTAGGGGCGGTGGCAGACCACAGACCTTCGTGGCAAGCAAATAGACAAATAAACATGTACATTTCTCTGCATGTGGTGATGATGGTGGTGATGATGAAGTGTGTCGGTCCTTTCTTGCTGCTTCAGTGAACTGGGGTCGTACTCAGGGAAAGATGCGGAGGGCTCCCGGAATCGAACCTGGAAACACCACACTACCCGTACGTATACAAGTTTCTTTGAAGTTGCCCTCTGACTGCTCTGGACTTTTTCCTTGGTAAATTGGTGATCGAATGTAGGTGCAGGGTTTGCTATGGTTGTTAGCTGTTAGCCTACTCACTTGACATTTGCTTGCGGTGGGGCATCTCGAAGGTGTCCAGCTACAGAACTCTTCGTGGCCAGCTGGACCCCCAATGCAGAAACAATGTTGCATCACTCGTAGAAAAAACCGTTTACCTAGAGGTGATCCTGGGGATGATGGGGCTGCGCACGTGTAAGTGCAACCTGCACTCAGGTACTTTCTGACTGCTTCTGCGCAGTTGCAACAAGCAACGCTTTATCCTACAGGATTGGCAGAGCTACGCCCGGATCTGATGGCCGCTCGTAAGACTGAGACCTCGATATTCCGTGCTCTCGCAACCGAGGTCCCAGCATCTTCCTCATTACCTTCCGGACAGCTACCGGGTCGCTGCTGTACTCGTGGGGCACTGACGAAGCCTTTGCCACATTCGAATTGGATATCCCCACGCAGTTACATCAGCTGAGTTAGAGGAGCCAGTCGCATACGGGATTGCTAGATTCCTTGTTTCGAGTGGTTGCTCGACAAGGCCAAACCAGACTGGCAGCGCTGTGCTCGCTGCGCGATCTCCCTCTGTTTGTTCTCAAGGTGCCTTCTTGGAGACGTTTGCAGCACTGTTTACTGGACGGTCGGCCCATGTTGCAGGTTGCGCAGCATGGTCGCAAAATCTTGAGCAGATCTCAGCTCACAGCGAGCACAGTCTTGCTTTTTCAGCCACACAGTGAGATGTAATATGTACGGATGCTTTCAAAGCCAGCTGAGCAAGCTTCAGGGCAGCGAGTTGGGCAACGCCTGTGCGCAGCCGGCTGCCTTACCAAGAGCTGGGGCCTTGCGACGCCTTGCAGAATTTTGTCTGGTAGGGCTGTGCCAGAGCCATGCCGGGGAGCCGCATATTCTCGGTAGCTTGGCATAGCGCCCATGAAAGGACAAAGAAGCCTTCCAGTCCAAGCTGAGTACACATCTTGACAAAACTCAGGCCGCACCTTGGTGCTATTGTGAAAATGGGCAGGGAGCTGACTGGGGCTTCTGCTCGCGGGAGGTGCGCCCGTGGAAGGTACGAAGGATTGTTTTCATGACTGAGAGTGCGACCGGTCAGGTAGTTCGCCTCCGTTTGCGACTGTTGGATGTCGCGCTCTTAGAGCACTTTTTGTCCACAGAGTTCGCAGACAGTAAACACAAAGTTCATTCAATCGACCGACTGATTCGCCCACCCTGCCTGATATTTTTAAATAGTTAAATAGTTGTTGACCGATCTGCTTATAGGCGTATACCAAGTCATCCTTCCTGTATCAACCCATCTCGTGGCTCTGTATCTGCGTGACCTGCCACGATACACCATGCACTGTAGCCTACCCTACATTGTTCCTCTCCTTCTCTACAGTGCAGATTCTATCAACTATATCTCCCTGTATGCCTCGAAGTCTCCATCTCTGGTTCCCTCTCCTCTTTCTTTGTTTATCGTTCACCTCTCTCCTTCTCTCCCTCCCTCCCTCCCTCCCTCCCTCTCTCCCTCTCTCCCTCTCTCCCTCTCTCCCTCTCTCCCTCTCTCCCTCTCTCCCTCTCCCTCTCTCCCTCTCTCCCTCTCTCCCTCTCTCCCTCTCTCCCTCTCTCCCTCTCTCCCTCTCTCCCTCTCTCCCTCTCTCCCGCTCACCCTCTCTCCCTCTCTCCCTCTCTCCCTATCTCCCTCTCTCCCGCTCTCCCTCTCTCCCTCTCTGCCCTTCCCCTTCCCTCCTCTCTGCACCCGCACATATGCTTGTAAAGGTGCGGAAGCTGATGCTAATCCTCTAGTCTCAGGCTTCTCGGGATTCCAAGATAAGTTCGTTTGTTTGCTACGAAGGTGGCTGCATTAATGTTGCTGCAGAGCAAGCTTTCAGGCGTCACGGTTCTGGCTGCGACGAGCTAGCGATGGCGCACGGTTGCAGGCAGCCTGGTGCTCGGATCTGTGCGGCCTTTGGAAGGGCAGGTGGCAGGTATCAGAGATGCAAGTGCCGTGCTTCTCACTGCGCTTCTCGGGCTTTTCAGTGGCATTGCGCCAAGGACTATAGCTATAAAGGGGACTCTGTAGAGACGTAAATGAGTGGACTCAGGTCCCTGAGATGCTCGCTGTTGACTGCAGCGCTCCCAGGGTCCTCGAACACTTGGGTAGCTCTCGAAGATTGATGAACTGGGGTATAGATTCGCATATGGAACTTCTCCAAAAGAGAGGGCGACTGGCTTTCTTGTGCCGATGGCAGAATCGACGAGCCACTGTAGCCATCGGTATAGCCAACTTGCAGTGGCGTCAGTCAAGGCGCAGAATACCTGCTCAACTTTGCGGCTTCAGGACAGTGAAGAAGCAGTGGCTTGCAGCGCAGGGTTGGTCAGCTTATGTCAACTTCTTGACATGCCACACTCGGATGAGATGATGAGTTCAACGCTCCTGCAAAGTGACTTGATGCTGAATTATTCGTCATCCTTGGCTGCAACTCAGCCATCTCCGGGCATAGTGTTGCTAGGAGGGTCTGCACCTGCCCCTCGCCACTGCTGGGGAGATCCTATGAGAACCACAGGGGACGAGGAGCGGCTACCGGGCTGGGGGGGGTGTTACGGGCCATGGGACTCCTGTGATTCAGCTGTCGACCTGCTTTTTCAGTGATGTGGTCGGGTGTTGTCGCGGCACTTTATGCAGCGCTAGTCTTTCCTCGGCTTTCTTACTTGGCAAGTTGCGGGCAGGTCTTTGTGGAGTGGTTCGCTGGCCGTGGCCTTCAGGCGTCCACCTCCTACAGCTGCACGGCTCCGACATAAGGTTTGCAAAGGTTGATTGAGGATTCCAGTATCTTTCGGGCCAAGCATTCATGGGCAATTAGGGTGGAATGGAGTTGAGCGTCGGATTGTGCAGCCCAAGCCCACCACATGTAGTCATTCAAGGCGACGTGCGCACCAGCACCCAAGGTCTTGAAGTCAACGGCGAGTTCAGGATTCCGACTTGCCGGGTTGAGCTCGTCACATCAGTATTTCGCAATCCAATGTATACGCAGGCACCAGGGCACGAGCAACCGCAACACCTTCTGGGTGTCCGTTGACCAGCCCTCTGATGTAGATCTTTAGTTTTCTATTTGCGTAACAGCCCCGACAAATTCGTAACATGAGGCCGCGACAAGGGTTTGTAAGGGGGGTGAAGGTGCGCCGCAACAGCCGGAAGTTCTGGAAGTTGTTCATTCTGGCGAACTCAGTCCATGCCGCAATAATCAGGAGCCCGGCGAGCATCAGCAACCAGGCCTGTGGTGGTCAGCACATGGATGGTATATTGAGTCAGGGCAACACACCTCGGGGCCTTGCCGTCTGTCATGTTCATCGGCACAGGAGGATTGCAGCATCGGCTTCCGGCCCAGGTCCTGGAGCTGTCCATTTGGAGCACTTCCACCGTCCCTACCTCAGACCATCATCGTGATTTTCTGCAACGATGCTCGGACAATGCGTTTTTCAAGGACGGGCCCTTCATTGGCAGAGAGGTTGCTAATGTACGGCCTTCTGCCCGTGCCCCAGCGTCCTGAAATACCGCTCAGGCTCAGTCCACGATGCTGCGAATCGGCATACTCATGGCTCATGTCACGAAAGTTTATGTCTGGTCAGTCTGGTCATGTGCAATTCCTTCAGGCTTCCTCGATTCCGAAATCTGGCACGTCCATTTTCACCGAGCAGCCACAAATCAACAGCGCCTGGTCCTGAGCGACCTGAACAGGGGTACCCTAACTTGTGTGGGGCCCTTAGGAGTTTTGAGCGGAGGGGGTGCCTTGTGAGATGATCCGAGTTGTTGGTGGTGTGCGGCGTCGTTTGCGTGATGCTGTCTTTCAGGGCTAGGCTCGGTGTGCTAGCCAGTTCCCCAAATCGCTGCCATGCAGTCATGAAAGCGAGCTCCATCGGAGCTCTCGCGGTGAGGGTCACACCGAGCGGCCCCTGCACCTCCCCTGTAGTCTTACGATGCTGCCGAGGGGCACTTTGCTTTTTTTTAACTTGCAACAGCTTGTGTTACGAACTGTAGGGCTGACGTTCAGGCTCTAGATACAAACAGGGTCGGGGCTGCAACCTCTCGTGTGCCAGCTCGCTTTCGTACGGGGCCCCTTTCAGCTGCTGCTGGTCTGCTCAGTGGAGGTCTGTTGACTGGAGATGTGCTGAGGTTGCTGCTCATCTGCTGGATGTCAACACCACAGGACACATGCTTGGAATCATCTCGTTTGCTCATGCAGGTCCACAGTCTTAAGTTTGTGTGTTGTGTGTGTGTGTGTGCGTGCATGTCGGCTGGCGCAGGAAACGTATCAGCGGGGGACTCGGCCACAGTGCATGCGCTTGTGTATTCAGCAGGTGTTAGTTTCGGCCCAGCAACAAGCACCCCCAGATTGACTTGCTCAATTTCTTGGCATGCCCCTTGGCATGCCCTTGGCCGTTACCTGATACTGGCTCATGCTCTCGCAACTGGCATGCGACAGTGTGATGTGTGCAACAAGTGTGACGTTACTTACTCTCAATCCTGTTCTTATGCTGGCATACATTCATTCGGAGCCAGCCAAAATTTGCTTGTTTTTTCTCCGCCCGGAAGGTATACCTTTGCTATGTTGTCTCGCGCTTTCTCTTGTCCTCCCTTGTTCTGCGACAAGTCGGTCTTCGCGTCCTGTGGCAATGGTGCGGCTGGCGGACTTCGGTGCTGCACACGACTAGAAAGTGTGCAAGGACCCTCTCCCGGAAGGATTGCATCGCAGGCACGAAGCAGGCTCAGATCTTCTTGTAGCCGCCTTCAAACTTCATAGATTCGCCCCAGCAACGCATGCCATGTTGCGCGCCATCAATCAGGCACAGTCCGGAATTCGTACAGGTGCAGCGGCATGTGTTTTACTATGCGGCAAAAAGGCCAACACAGCACACAGAACTTTACACATTCGCAGAAGGAGTTTGGTTCCTTGCACAGTTCGACAAGACAGTTTCACAAGACTACCGGCGCTGGATAACAGGCGCTTGTACTTATTAAGTCAAGTTTTTGTTATGTTCAACTAGCTTGCAGACTGCGGCAACAAGAACAGGAAAGAACAAACTCAGAAGAATCGATCGCCAATGCCCCCTCCACATCGATAGCCGCGTGATGCCCGTATATATATATATACATATACATATATATATATATATATACACATGATACTGTAGCAGGTTCTGAGTTCGATTAACCCTTCCCTCTCGGTATCTAGAATCCAGAACAGTGTGGGATGACCTCCTTTCAGCGACTATCTCCACATGAGAGTACCGAAGCAGCAAGCTGATAGTTCCTGGTCTTGACGGCATCCTCGCAGCCTGGTTCCTTACCCCCTGACATGCCATGAAGCAGTGAATGTCATGTCGATGAACTCGTCAGTGAAGAAAGCGCGATACGAAGACGCGATGCAGTTGCCCTCCCTCCCATCATTTTTGGCAGCGTTTTGTTGTGGCTTGGTTTGAGGGCCAGCACTCTGCTTCGCGATAAGGGAAGCATGTAAAGCTCTGGGAGGGAGGCCAAAAAAGGCTTTCTTTGAGTGATTTTGCTTTTTTGACCGCGGAGGAATGGCCGAAGTCTCGGACAGGATCCCCAAGGCTTACTGCTGGGGGTTTCGGAGCCTTCTCGGGCCTTGGGAGCTGGAGGGCAACGGGCGACTTTGTTCTCGCTCATGAGTCGTGTGTAGGCCCTAACTAAATTAAGTATGCTGGGCCACCAGCTATACTGGAACCTGTCTGCAAAACATCCTCCAGGTGTTTGCGACATGGCTGTGCGAATGTGTGGTCATGCACTGAAGATGATTGGGTGGGGGGTGGGCCACCAACAGCAGAGATGCTCAAATGCATGATTGGGAGCTTGCAGGCATTTCGCTCATCGGTGGTGCCCATTGCACCCCGCCAGCTACGGCGTGTGCGACAAACCCCAAAGGCCGGATAGCAGAGCATGTTAGAGCGATGGGTCGGGAATGCTCTTGGAAGAAGTACTGCATTGGAACTTGTTGGTTTCCTTCCTGCGTAAATCTACTACAGTTTCAGTGGCCACTGGAACAGGTGGTGCCGCCACCGAAGCGGGCAGCACCGACAGAGGTTAAAGAAGCCAGGCAGGGAAGTAGCATAGCGTAGCATACCCTAGCAGCATAGCGGCATGGCGAACATCATCACCTAAGTAGACACTTGCAAGAACTTGAAGGCCGAAAGGCTCGCGTGCCAAAGTGTCCATACCATTGCGTGTTCGTCCAGAGCTGTTGGAGCGAGGAATGGTGGTACTGCAGCTTGGCGCCGTCCAATTCCAGTTGCTAGAACTGTAAGCGGGTTGCAGCCGAAAAAGAGTGGGAACAGAGCATGGTAGAGGGTAGTGTGACTTTGGTCTTGAGGTGTCAAGATGGGGTTCGAGGCGTGATTGAGAGCGCCTTCGCGGCCCTGGACGAAGTCTATGTGCTGAGACACGACTCGAATCAGTCACTGAAGATGAGCACCAATCAGATCGCCTTCTTGGGCGAATGGTCAGACTCGGCAGCGTGCCTGCAACTGCGAACGGAGCAATTTTTCATACAAGAATATAGAGACAGAGAGAGGGAGACCAACACAGGGGCGCGCAGGGGGTCACTACCTAAACCCGCGAAAGAAGAAAGAAACAAAAGAGAGACAAAGAAAGAGTACAAGAAAGAAATAATGAAAGAAAGCAAGCAAAAGGAATGAAAGAAAAAAAAGAAAGTAGAGTCGAAAGACAAAGATCAAGTAGAAGACTTTGCTTCAGATAGCCCTAGGACCGGGAAAAAATCTCAGTGCAACGTTGGCGACCTCCCACATTATGCTCGGTGTGGAAAGATCTTTGCATTGCTCACCACAGTTTCTGTGGTTCAACCCCAAACGCGCAGGAAGGCTCAGGGGAATCAATTGAGTTTAGCCGTTGCTGCAGCGCAGTCGTAGACCAGTCGGAAATCTGCAGGCAATTGCCCCACACAGTTTAAGGCCTGCTGATGGGTAATTAGTCTCGTGAGCCAGTGCTTGCAGCCTTTGGTTTCCCCGCAGTCGTCAGTCACCGATTGTAAAGCCGTCATTTCACTGAACATCCATTTGACTGAGATTTGCGATCCTATGCTGAACAACTCCAAGTCACTTTGAAAATGAATGCGGCAAAATGTGAGTGACCTGTTCCGTCCTTCAGTATCCCTCGCCATAGAAAACGCTTTTGGAGTTTGGTTTTGCTCGCACGGACTGCACTAATGGTGCAAGCACGCCACGGGTTTTCAGGTGGAGATCATCAATTCCGTGGAAGTTCCGCCTGATGTGGAAGCAATTCTAGGGCTGGAACAGCTGGAGCAGCTGAGAGAATTGGCTGGGAAAGCGCCCGTCCACCTCGAGTCCCTGCCCCAGGACACCAGTGAACCGCATGTGCTCATAGCCTGACTCACAGCCTCCAAAAACCTGCTCTCGTTTGCACACCCCTGAAATCGATGCTGTGCAGGAGGGGTCCCGCGGAGCTTTGGCCCAGCTGGTAATTGGCCCGAGCTCGGCCAAGGCAGTCAAGGAAGCAGTCGACACCATTGTTAGTCACGTCGACGCTTGGCCTGACACCATTTCGTAACAATATAGTAACTCAAAGCTGCAACTTTCCCGATGCTGATAGGACGTCCCTTGGACAGGACCCATACTGCCACACCGAAACTGCAGCTGCAGCTGCAGCTGCTGCTGCTGCTGCTGCTACCACTACCACTACCACTACCACTACCACTACCTGTACCTATACCTATACCTATACCTATACCTAATTATACCTATACCTATTCCTACCTACTACTACCTACTACTACCTACTACTACCTACTACTACCTACTACTACCTACTACTACCTACTATTACCTACTACTACCTACTACTACCTACTATCACCTACTACTACCTACTACTACCTACTACTACCTACACTGCCTACTACTACTGACTATTACCGACTACTACCTACTATACCTACTACTACCTACTACCACCTACTACCACCTGCTACCTACTACTACCTACTACTACCTACTACGACCACCAACTCTTCTTCCTCCTACCTCCTACCTCTTACCTCTAACCTCCTACCTACTACATACTCCTCCTACTCCTCCTACTCCTCCTACTCCTCCTACTCCGCCTACTCCGCCTACTCCTCCTACCACTCCTACTCCTCCTACCACTCCTACTCCCACTGCCTACTGCCTACTGCCTGCTACCTACTAACAGCTAACTACCACCTACTACCTGCTACCTACTACCTGCAACCTACTACTACCTACTACCTACAACCTACTACTACCTACTACTTACCACTTACTACTTACTACTTACTACTTACTACTTACTACTTACTACTTACTACTTACTATGTCCTACGTCCTACGTCCTACATCCTACGTCCTACGTCCTACGTGCTACTTGGTTAGCGCGCTCTATTTTCAAGGCTCGAGCGAGTGCAGGCTGCGGTAGTTCCCCCGCAGGTCTCCTGCGGTGCCGCAGCTACAGGAGCAATGGTTGCGCCGGACCCAGCGGCCCTTGTGGCAGCAGCGGTCCGAGCAGCTTGTCTGGCCAAGGCCCCCCGCCGCACGGTGCAAGGCGTTGCAGCAGCAGTTGTCTCTGTTCTCATGAGACCTGCGGAGGCAGCACCGAGCACAGTCCGGGGCGAGACTGCCAGAGGCCCGGCGGCGCATGAGGCCGTCGTGGAAAAGAGTGAGGAGGAGCGGCGTGAGGCGGTCAGGGCCAAGCGTCGGCTCAAGAGGCAACCCAAGAAGGCAGCTCGAGCAGCGGCTGCTGTCAGCAGTGCCAATAAAGAGCAGGTTGCAGACGAGGCTCACCAAGGATCGGCTGGGGACGCCGAGACTGCTGAGCCCGCTGTGGAGGGCGCAAGCACCCCGAGAAGGACTACGACTCCAACGTTTGAGCGTGGCCACACGGGCCTGACCCCCCCCCGGCAAGCGGCAGTGTTTGGATGCCAAGGATGGTGATGGCGTCGGCGTCGACGAGGAGCCGGAGATGGGTCGTCGACTCAGTATTGAGAGTGTGGAGAGCGTGGCTTCCGACTGCACGGTGTTTTCGGACTTCGGCGGGGACGGCCGTGATGGCCTGCAGCGGCAACCAGGTGGTGACAGGAGCGAGGCAGCTGCTAACAACAGTCTCCTGTCGGGCGGGGGCGCCTGAGCTTCCTCGGCTCAGGGTGCATGCCTGGCTGGCGTCGTCGAAGTGCGTGCTGGCTTGGAATTTGTTTTGGTGGCGCCGGGCTTTTCATGCTTGGCTACTTTTGGGCGGGCCCCGCAAAGCGGGCTCCTGCTTGTCAGTCGGACGGGTGGCGTCTAGACAACCTTCCTGGTCTCAGTCTGTCGTCATTTTCGTTAACAACAACAACAACAACAACAACAACAACAACAACAACAACAACAACAACAACAACAACAACAACAACAACAACAACAACAACAACAACAACAACAACAACAACAACAACAACAACAACAACAACAACAACAACAACGCGCTCTGTTTTCCCAGGGCGCGGTGTCTGTTGACAGTGCATTTCTGCTCGGAGCCAAAATGCAGCCTTTTTATGCGTTTCTTTGGGGTTTTCAGTCATTTCTGGGCATGCTCGCGAAAGGCATGGGCGCTTGTGACATCTTTTGTTGTTCGTGCAAAGAGGCAGAAACACCGTGAATACCAGTGTTTACGCATGTTCGGCAAAGGCATGGACGCTTGCGCTGACTTTCTCGTTCCACATCCTTGTGCAGTGTGTTGTGCAGGCGAAAGCACTGCAAATACCAGTGTTTTGGGCGTGTAACGCTGTAAATACCCTACTACCTACTACCTACTAATTACCTATACTACTTCTGCTACTACTACTACTACTACTACTACTACTACTACTACTACCACTACCACTACCACTACCACTACCACTACCACTACCACTACCACTACCACTACCACAACGACGACGACCACGACCACGACCACGACCACGACCACGACCACGACCACGACCACGACCACGACCAGGACCAGGACCAGGACCAGGACCACGACCACGACCACGACCTCGACGACGAGGACGACGACGACGACGACGACGCCTACTGCTGCTGCTGCTACTACTATTACTACTACAACTACAACTACAACTACAACAACAACTACTACTACTACGACTACTACTACTACTACTACTACTACTACTACTACTACGACTACTACTACTACTACTACTACTACTACTACTACTACTACTACTACTACTACTACTACTACTACTACTACTACTACTACTACTACTACTACTACTACTACTACTACTACTACTACTACTACTACTACTACTACTACTACTACTACTACTACCTACTACTACCTACTACTACCTACTACTACCTACTACTACCTACTACTACTCCTGCTACGCTACTACTACTGCTACTACTGCTACTACTGCTACTACTGCTACTACTGCTACTACTACTACTACTACTACTACTACCACTACTACTCCTACTCCTACTCCTACTCCTACTCACTACTACCACTACCACTACCACTACCACTACCACTACTACTACTGCTACTACTACTACAACTTCTATTGCTACTACTACTACTACTACTACTACCACTACTACTCCCACTCCTACTCCTACTCCTACTCACTACTACCACTACCACTACCACTACCACTACTACTACTGCTACTACTACAACTACTACTGCTACTACTACTACTACTACCACTACTACTACTACTACTACTACTACTACTACTACTACTACTACTACTACTACTACTACTACTACTACTACTACTAGTAGAACTCCCCGTGTTGCTGTCCAGGACGGGCTGGACTACCCGCCAAACAGCTATGCAAAGGCGGCCAGTGAGAGCAACGCAGCGGTCGTTGCGAACGACAGCCTGGATCCTGCCACTTCGCTCGAACCGCTCAGACAGGGTTATGGGCGTGGATTGTTGGTGCCTATGGACTCCTGTGTTAATTCGTCTACTGCCCCAATCCATTGAAACGTGTTTGCCAATGTTCGAGCCCTCCCTCACTAGCACTCGCAGGCCAGTGCGGGTGACCAATGGATTCCTCCTGCGGCCTCACTTCCTCAAACTTCATCGGGGCTGTATCCACCTGGGTCGCCACCCATGATGATGGTTTGCCCGGTGGCTTTGTGGCAAGCGAGACAGCATTGGATCGGGTCTCATTGTTGAGAGAGTGCTGGACAAGACAGGTTTGTTCAGGAGATGTCAAGGAGGGGTTGCCATCCATCGAGGTCTTCACCAAAAAGCGAGGGCGTTGCAAAATAATAACCCGGCAACGACAGACATCGTAAATGCTGCGAGTCGACCTCCTCTGCCCGGCCCGAAAATTAGGCTGTAGGTTTGAGAAGATTGAATCGGGATTTTTGGGCTTAGGCTGTTCTTCACGGATTAAGGCGGTCGCTCACGTTGGTAAGGAGAAGGTTGTCAGGCGATCTTGGGGTCCCCTCCTAGCGGACTAGTGGGTCGGGTACCTCCAATTGATGTGCCTCGCCCTCCTATGTTCCGCGACCGTTGACCGGTTTCAATCACATGCAAAGTAGCGCTAATGTGGGTTTCTGACGTTCCCACACTTCCCAAAGGTGCGATGTTTGTGCCAGGTATGGCCCGGCTCCAGCCCAGCTTGGTCAGATTGGCCCGCGACATCGACTTGGGGGTCATCGGCGGCGACGGGGGCGGCATTGCCTGCGGAGGAAAATCTTTTGGCACCCTGGGCGGGTCAGCCGCAAACGGTGGAGGTGGAGCAGATGCAAGGTTACAAGGAAAGTAAGGGTGGAAAGATGTGGAAAGTGAAGCTCAGTTTTCTGGCGCAGGTGCCCATAGACACGGAGCAGACGCCCGTGCAAGAGATACCATTGCGGTTAGAGTCAGGGCCTGCCAAAGAGGACCCATGAGCCCTTTTTCACAAATCCATTTCTTCCGTTTGCTCTGTACAGAGGAGCGGCCGGGCGCCGCCCCTCCGTGGCGCAACAAGGCCACTGCTTCCGCACACCACAGCACCCACGCAGAACTCTGGCACGTAGTAGAATGGCGCATATATAGGGAATCAATGTGTGCGAACACACCACTGTGGCATTCTTCTAGTGGCCGTCACAGATTTCAGGTGTGAGCCTCCTGCCAGGAGCTCCCACCACCTCCTCAGAAGAAGCACGCCCCGGAGAAGAAGCCTCTGGAGAAGACGGAGGTCAGCGCTGGAACCACGGCCTTCATCTCAGCCTCGAGATGTGAGATCGCCAGCTTATTCTCCGAAACTCCTCCACCTGACGCACGAGGTGAAACGATACAGGCCATCTAGCTTGGCTGGGAAGCGACGCCGAGAGGCCATGACTGTCAAGCAGGAGGCAGCAAGTGTCGGCGAAAGTCTGCATGTAGGAGTCGGGTTAGAAGAACTGGTTCACATTGCCTCAATGATATCGCGCTCTGCCGGATCCTCTTTGATTCCTGTGCGCTTCAGGTGGACGAGGACGAGGCCAGCGGCCTGAAGACCGCTGAGGATAGCAGAGCACCCCAGGGAGTGTTGGCCTCAACGTTCTAATTTTTTTTACCCGCCTGCTTCCTCACCACGACTGTTACAAAAGCAGCAACTGAGGTGGCGCCAGAGAGCCCGACCAACTCAGCTCAGGATGAGGCAAACAAGACTGTCTTGTTTTGGGCGACTCAGCAGGACGGAGTGTGCGCAAATCACAGCCTCAAAGATTTTGCAATCGCGACTTAGTGTGCATCGTCTGATGCTGCATTCGAACCCAGAAGCAAGCATCGCACCTCCTTCCAGGACCAGTTCTCCAACCTCCCTCAGCTGCCTGACGGCTGGATCAGGATCCCTTCAAAATCAGCAGGCATATACTACGTGAGCCTCTTCTTACAACAATGTGTCGACATGTGTCGGTTGTATTGATGACTTGCTTGTTCTGATGTGATGTGTTGCAGTTCACACTGCAGTTTACAATGTTTGTTCTGTCTCCCGACTGGGTTGAAGACTGGGTTGAATGGCCGAGGAATTTGGCAACCGGGAGATCGACCTTTCGATCGCCCTTGGAATTACCACCAGGGTGGACGAAGGTACTGAAACTTAGGGGACGGACGATGTGAACTGGTTCGCTTCCACGTAGTGAGGTTGAGCAGTTGAGCACCCTGAAGGTGATGTCCAAGAGCACAGGCCGAGAGTACTACTGGCACGCGGAGAAGCAGATCTCGCAGTTTGATTGGCCCACGGACTAGAGAGATAGAGCAACTTTTTAACCCACCGGGTGGCATGTTGAATTGTTCCGGTTCCGGGCTTGACATGTACAAACAGACCCAGTGCAGGGTCAGAGGCCAGCCGGAGGCGCAGACAGAGAATTTCAATGCTTGTCCCCGAACCAAAGACAGCGACTTTGATCGGCCGTGATGGCCGTGGGCATGGATTTGAGAAAGTAGAGGATGTGTCGCACAGATGTGCGCATGAGAACGCCATGGGAATGCTGACAGTTCGCGACATTTTCAGGGGCATCTGCTGAGTTCTGTCAGGCTCATGACATGCCAAAGACGTGGTGTTGTGGGGAAGGGGGGGGGAGTGCTATGGCGGGGGAACTCGCTAGATTTGCGCGATTTTCATTGTTTGGGCCAGAATAGCCAAATCAAACCAAGACCATGGGGTGCTGAGTTTGATCTGCGCGCAAATTCCTCGAAGCTTTAAGTTATGCTTATACACATCTAGATACTTTACCACCATCTTGTGGTTCTTTGGTTCTTTACAGACATACATATATACTTGTAGACATGTACATATATAGGAGCAAACATCTTGAACGGTTGGCGTATTTGCCACTGCCATGGCCGGTGTGCCGCACCTGCCAGAGAACCTCGACCTCGATTCGGGACACCTTATGTTTGACAGCTCATGGGGGGGAGGGGGGTAGAAGGTTGTCGCGAGGGTATTCGAGGTAGGACTATGAAAGGGACGAGCCGAGCCCAGCTTAAGTTTGGCCTCCAACTCTCTACAGCTGGTTGGAGTTGATCCCGATGTATTGGGCGAAGTTCAACCAACCCGATACAGAATGGCATCATGCAACCACAGTCCATGGCATGAGTGAGAAAAGGTGTGCAAACATTCAGCTCTGGGAGTGCAGCGGTCACAAGGCGGTTCCATGTTTTCAGAACACTAAAGTAGCGAAGGTCGCTGAATCAGCTTGACAACTGGACTTTAGGAGCCTGAGTCCTTCGCGGTTGGTTTTTTGCTTCACTGGGGGGGAAGGACTTCATAGGAGTTACACGAAGTGCCGATGCATTGAACCCACTGCTCAGGAAAGCCCACTTTGGCAAGGCAGGGAAAGAGTCCTTTGATTCAGAAGTCACTTTTATGGCATGATGGGTTGGTGCCCATGCGAAGGCCCCTGCAGAGCCGGTGGATCAACCACTGTTCATCATCCATGGCGTTGAGACAAGCCCAGGCTTGGCCTGCTGTGCTCAAAAGACTCTACCTTCAAACCCAGTTCTGTGTAAACCCACGCCATGCCATGGCAACGCCAATCCACTGCTTCATTGGCAGGCAGCCCCCATCAGCAGGCTGCTGCGGGTTTGGGCCGGCTTGGGGAGTGCTTTCGCAAGCTATTGGAGCCACCGGCCGTGTTCAGCACAGTAACATGATCGGCTGGCCCTTCAAGCCCTGTGATGTTCCAACTAGATGTTACAAAGAATGGACAGCATGACAAATGATATCTGTGGCAAGCGCACCTGAGGGGCGGTGGCTTCCTTAGAACTACTTACACTCTAGTCATTCTCTCCGCGGTTTGTGATTGCGCTCTCCACATGGAGAGTTGTCAGGTGAGGTGCTAAAGCCCTTGCAACTTCCACACGTGTGCACAAGAAGGTCGATGTCATCCTTTCATCGTATACTCGTCCCTCTCCCCAACCCACCATGCGTCTCTCTTTTGCTGGGCTTGGTCATGTCTGATGTGCCACGTAGGCTGGTGCCGAAGACGTGCTTCTGGAAGCCGAACATGAGCGGAGCAACCTGTCTCATCCTGCGCAATGAGTCGGAGTCAGAGGTAGAAGCGATGGCACCCCGAGACAGTGCCATAGAAGGTAAATGCACGTGTTTACAGATTGTTTGCCAGGCGAAATGTCGCGCATCATCACGTGCATCTTGAACCCTGCATTTGACACGTTCCTAAGGTGCCGGGGCGTCCCCAGCCAATCGTGTTTTGGTGCGGGGCCGAACTCGCAGATTGTCCCTGCAGCTGCAGGCGTTGAGCAGCAGATGGTTCGGACTCTTTATCGCAGCATCGTGATAAGACGCATTTCCAAAGCACGGCACGCAGGAATTCTGTGGGTGTTGGGTGTAAAGATCCTTGTAAGGAATTTCTATACAGCCTACGTTTCCAAGATGCATAAGTGTCCGCGAAAGATCCGCGAACAGGGGGTGCGACAAGTGTTTTGGGCGAAAGTTTGGACGTAAGGCACGTGTTTGCTATGCATCCGAAGCAGGATTGTTGTTGTT